GGTTGAATTTTGACTGAGTTGTGGTGTGTTGAAGGTTTGGAGGGGGGGTGAAGTCTATTTTTGATTGTGGTGAGTGGCTTTCTTGTTTGGTGCCTGCAGGAAAATTTTCAAGTTCATGCAGACACTTGTGGTACGCGCGCGCCCCCCTGGAGGGAAATTATGCATAATTAATAAAACCGCGTGTAAACGTGGAATCCCCGTGTGCTGCGCCGCAGCAAAACCGCGTGTAAACGCGGAAAAACCGTGTTTTTTTATTAATGCCCTAGCAAAATCTTGAAAAATCTAAAAAATCTAAAAAATCTGAAAAAATCTAAAAAAATCTGGAAAAATCTAAAAAATCTAGAAAAATCTAAAAAATCTAGAAAAATCTAAACATTCTAGAAAATGTCTAAAACATTGGGAAAAATCTAAAAAATTTAGAGAATTTAAAAAATCTGGAAAAATCTTGAATTTTTTTACAGGATTTCCCCAAAATTTACAAGATTTCCCATCTGGGAAATCATGTCAGGGATGATGTGCTTCCAATCAACAAGGATGTACCTTGTTGATCAGAAGGAAACCCTTCCAATCAGGGAGGTACATTGACCTTGTTGACCGGAAGGGTTTCCTTTTGGTCAACAAGGAAGTACCTCATTTATTGGAAGGAAAACCTTCTGATCATTGATCAACATTACTTTTTTCATAACCAATCAGCTATCTCACCTTTGCCTGAAATCCACTGCTTTTTGGCTTCATACATCCCACCAGTGGACCAGATCATCTCAACCACCCTTACAATTATCACCCATTATATTACAAGTCACAGTTATATAACCACCCTTATTTTATCACAATATATTCATAACACTTTCATATCATCATCATCATACCAAGTGCCCAGTCCCCTGTTCCATTCCTGGTTGAAGCATAGTGCTCCCAGTGCCCAGTGCCTTGGTTCCAAATCACCTCTTTTTAAATTTATATACCATCAACCTCAAGGACCTGTGTTGTGGTGGTGGGAGCGCGCCGCGGCCAAAGCTTTGGCCAAATTGTTTGGGTGTATGCAGAATGCCCGCAGCTGATGCGGAAATCATGCGGAGCTGACGCTACACACACAAGCTGAGGAAAGCGGCGGTGCGTTAGTGGAAAGTCTAAGCTTTCCGAGGCGCGGGCTAGCGGGGGAAAGCATGCCAAATGTGCAAGGTTCCGAAAAGCTTGCTGCGGGGAATCTGGGCACTGGTGGACTCTGGGGCCCACGGCCAACTGCGGACTGGGTTTTAGTGTATACTGCGGAGGGGCTACAAATGAGCAGGGGGCACCAAGAGGCGGAAGCAGGGTTCGGAGAGGACCAGGGGCGGAAGCGGCGGTGGGAGACCTATCCAATGGGCGGCCGGAGGAGTACACTGACTGGCAGGAGTCGGAGGGGTGATGAGCGGAGTGCGAGGGAGTGACAGTGGAGGACAGCGTGGAAAGCAGGAGGGAATTTGTGTGTGGGAAAGCTGGCAAGAGTGGAGATTTGGAGTAGAGGGGAAAAAGAAGGGGGGAGACTTATGACTCAGATTATATCAGAAAAACAGAGTGACTTAGGAGTGAATTGTGGATTATCCTAAAGAATTGTTAGAGATAGACAGAGTTAGAGTATTACCAACCAAAACCAATAAAAAGATTAGTATTTTACCTACCTACAAGACCATCAAGCAAGTTACCCCGGACAACAAACCGGAGTAGGACGTGTTGCGGAGCAGAGAAGTGCAAGAAATCTCCAAGGTCACGCCCTACTTTCCACAGTGTTCAAGGCTCAACATCAACAACAATCATTATCACCACTCCTACCAACAACAACAACATCAACTTGAACCATTATACAAATCAGTCAACAGCTTCATCTCAAACTATCCTCTATCACAATATATAAACTGCCAAGCTGAGCTTGGTGGTCTTGTTTTTCTGATAGCATAGAAGGGCAGAGCTTGCAACTCCACCATCCCCTTCTCCATTCAGCAAAAGGGTTTCACAACCACTTTTGAGTCTTACACCGGGTGTATTCATGGGGGGTGTAGAGTCCAAGGGGTTGAAAGGAGGTCACAAACCCCTTGGATACATGGTACAATTGGCGGATCAGTTCCATGCATGGCGGCTCAGGGGCAATGATGGCGGCTCAGGGGTGTGAGTGGCCAAAATGGAAATTGAGATCATTTCTCCATTTGGCCACTCTGGCGGTACAGGAGCATTATTTGGCAGTTACTTGGCCAAAGTGGCGGTATATCACCATATTTCCATGTTTTTTGTGGCCATTGTGGCACGTCAGTGCCTCCATAAATGAGTGAAATGTACACTGGGTAGACAGAAAAATCTGTACCCCTGCACACCGGACTCAAATTTGGTGACACCCACTGTGACACGCAGGCACAAGTTACCCTCTTGACCACTGATCATTGATTATCATCAGTTGACCATCAACTTCCCTGCCGACATCACCTTAGAGCATCTCCACCTGGGGAGTTAAACTGCGCGGGTAAACCAAATTTACCTCCCCAAGACCAAAATTCCCCTACCAATGGGGGTGCTAAAGGGGAGGTAAATTTTGTTTTCCCCCCCTCGGGTTGCATAGCATTGCCAGATGTGCAATTGCTATACCAACCCATGTAACTGCCCAACCCAACGGTTTCACAGGGTCATCCTGGTGAAATCCGGACTTCCCCCCCCCCCCTGCATGGGAGGGCCTTTCACAAACCAGGAGTGTGGATAGCACCCTGTGGTGGAAAATAATTTTTCCAAGGGTTGCTATCTGTCCGCCACAGTCCCCGATGTGGTAAATAATACTGTGTTTCTAAGCAGAAAATATAAAAATTTCTTATTATCTCTTTATACATTCAAGATATGGTAAAAATGACATCAAAAATGGAATCCTCAGGTAAAATAAATCCTAGTCACTCACTACAACCATACCTTTATCTCTTATAGTTCAGAAGTTACACATATTTCAACCTGTCACGGGATAATTCTTGGATTCTTCACTCTAGCCATAGTCATTATGAATACAGGATGCATATTGCATACTGATCAATTCCTTTGTAGTAAATTGAATACCTTTACGTTATTTTGAATCCCTTTGTATTAGTGATATTGCATGTATGCATCCCTTTGATCATACATATGCGTCCCTTTATTCATTCATATGCATCCCTTTGTAGTAGTATCTCACAGCCTGTACCCAGGGGCCAAAATCCCTCACATTTGTCTATATAAGGAGGCCTCTGCCTGCCAGTTGTTCCCTCCATCATCCCACCAGTGGACCAGATCATCTCAACCACCCTTATAAATAAATCCATCTTATATATTATTTCATAACTACACGTCATAGCCACATTACAATTTCAGAATTATATACATTGAAATACAGATTTAACACTTTCATCATCATCATAAACCAAAAGTGCCCTGAACCATATTCATCAACAACAACCTCATCAATATAACCAACAGTCAATAACATCTTTATATCCTCACACATATCAATCGGCAGCTTCATCTTGAACTTATCCCTATCACTATATATAAAATTGCCAAGCTAAGCTTGGTGGTCTTGTTATTCTGATAGTATAGAAGGGCAGAGCTTGCAACTCCAACATACCCTTCTCCATTCAGCAAAAGGGTTTTAATAACCACTTTTGAGTCTTACACCGAGTTTGTAAATTTACCAACTCAGATGACTCTGTGTGGTGGAGATGGTCTTACAAACGACCTACATATCTGGATAATGTAACAATCAAACAGTCACTAAAACATCACCCTCAAGTGCTGAGCAACTCAAACTTCAATTCAAACCAGTTGTCAACAATCCTCCAAGCCAAAAAAAATGTTACTGATTATCTTTTCCATTTTTTCTTTCTTCATCATTATCCCCAAGCTCTCAAGTCTACCTCCAATTTATCCCTCATTATTCCCAGCAATATTAAAAAAAATAGAAAAAATTGATGATTTTGTTTTTTTTTTAATCTTTTTTGTGCTGCAATGAAGGTTTTTTGACCCTGTCATCATTTTCCCTGACCCCCTTTCTCCCACTTCCCCTAAAAAAACCTTCCAAAAAGAATAATAAAAATAAGTAAGTAGGGGTACAAATGTTTCTGTCAACCCACTGTACAGTGGGTGGACCGTTATTTTTGGCTGCTTGTTTTGTGTTCCAGAGCTTTAAAGCACAAACTTGAAGTCACAAGAATTGGTGAAGTGGTGCAGAATAGGTCCCAAAGAATGAATATGAAAAAAAAAGTTTCAAAATCTGTGAAAAATAAAAAATAAAAATGTTTTTTTTCTAAAAGCTTTGTTATTGATTTTGGGGGAGTGGGAGTGCTGAGAGAAAGAAAGAGTGGAACATGGCAAGAAAGATTATAAATGAAAAAATTGGAACCAAAAAAGGGTGAGCCAGGTTGGCTGTCCAGATTGGATCCAAAACAGTAAATTCTAGTGCTTTACTACAATGTGCGCTGATGTATTCCCTCCTGAACACCTTGCTTAAAACCAACTGGTCACCCACTGCTTTCTAATTTGGTTCAGAAGCAATCTGCCGTTTTACATTCTGGTCTATCTACGAGCACTCACACTCCCCAAAAGGAGTATCACTGCTTTTGTAAAAAACACCAGTTCAGT